GTGGGAAAAGTTTTTAAGCCAATTGTGTCCGGCTGAACCTGATCGAGGTGTTAGACTGAACTCTCTCTCCTGCTTTTTCTCGTCAATAAGCTTGAGAGTGGTGGCCAATGACAGCGCCTGTAGCTCCTGGTCCACGTGCCTGTGGTTCCACTGCGGGCTCTGTGCGTAGATTTCGGTCAGATCTTCGCTGTACAGCGGGTGACCTGTGGTTATTTCAAACATAATTAGCTTTATTAGATATTTTGCTTGATACTTTTAATTGCTTCGATCATCAAAGTTTAATGAATAATAAATTTAAGTTATTTTTAGTTTAATTTAGCTAGCTCGAAATTTAGTTATTATTCATTTGTTGCAAATAAATGTTTTGCATGTTGATTATACAGTATAATATTTGTTTTATAGCATTTAGCATGTATTGTACTGTATTTGTATTATTATCAAGAATAATTATAGTTTTTATTGAATCCATAGAATTCATAAATCAATAAAAAGTTATTTATATAAAAGTTGAATTTTGAAATATAGTTCACTTAATTATCTCAAACTAAAATAAGTTCAAAAGAAAATAAAACTCGTATTTATTATTATAAGTGTCACAAAAAGCAATAATTTAAACTATACCAAACTTTTGTTATAATTATTTGTATGGCTAAAGAATATAATACCACTACTTAAATACACTAAAAATACTGAACAATAATATTGTTTTAATATTAATTTGCTTACAATCCGTTTAATATGCTACATTCCCACATAAATTGCAACAAAACAATTGAAAATCAATATAACTGGTAGACTAGTCTAGTCACTATACTAATTGCATAGAAACTGAATTTTGTCTGGCATAGAAACGATTGTTTACAAACGTGCTGTTATTGTACTTCAGTCGCGACTATATCTGATTCTATATCTAAGAACTAAGTTCTGTATAAATAATTTATTAATAAGTTTCACTCCTTTTATGTAAGATATTTGTGAATAAACAGGTTTATCTCAAATGGTTATGAATACAGTATATTTCTAAACTATTGTATTTATAATCATTTATATATTGCGAGTGAAAGTGAATACAACTTTGAAAGGAAGTTCACACTAATTATTATCCAGTCATTTGAAAACAAATGGACAATAGTAGTCTGGTGTTTTTGTATGTCCTTCAAAACAGTGTCTAATGTTTGAACATGCATATACAATTTTAATAAAATCAGTATCCCAGAGAATAGCATATTATAGGCGATATAATGATAATCCTAAAAGTAGTCATTAATTCAAAAAAGTCTTTACACATGGAATTAATTTTGGGGCCCATTATTGAGTTCAAGTTTTTTTTATAGTCGTTGATATCGTTACTACTGTACTGTATGTCAAAGTAATTGTTTTCTATGCGAGAATGTGTATGAAAATAAATGTAAATAATTTGATGTGAAGTTTTATGGGATATCATTAGATTTATTAATGATAACAAAAATACTATATAAACCTTTTTGTGTCTCTCAATCTGAAAGTCGTAAACAATTTAAATGAAAAGACATTCAAATTAGAGCTCCTTTATAGTGACAAACATTTTTACAATAACACAATACTTATATAAAATTTCATAATAATTACTACAGTATTAGCATTAAACTTAATAAATTGTCAAATATTTTTCAAAGTTTATATTTAAAGTAATAAAAAACAAAATCTCATTAAAATAATGTCAAAAACACTGTATCTAAAAATACAATATTTACTATACATATCAAATAAAACCTTTAAAGTCTGTTAAGAGACTTATATTTGTATACTGTTTTGAATCAATCAAATACATAAAATCCATACCTTTTTCCGATCGGGTCTTATAATGGTTAGCCTGTCTGGACCTGGCCTCGCATTCCGAGTACCAGTTCATGGCTTTCGGGTCTTTCAGTGCATCCAAATTCTTGGGTTTTTTAAATCCATTGCCCATAATATAGACGTACGCGGAAAACGGCTCAAAGTTTGCCGTATATTCAGAATTCCTGAGGATTTTCTCGTGAATCTTAGGCATCGAGTCGACGGCATCCACTCGAGTGGCCACAATCGGCCGCTCGATATTCATGTATTCAACTTCATTGCCCTTTTTAGGCCAATCAAATGAGGAACCGTACCTCGCATTAGCCAACTGTCCATTCATTTGAAAGATATTTATTAAAAAGTGTTTAATAATTTGTTTTCCAATCAATTATACAAAAGTTTTTGCTTACTTTTGGTGGTGCGTGAGAGTGATTGCGATTACCATGCGGAACATTGCCCCAGGTATAATTCTGTCGATATTCAGTGTTCGGGCAAACT